ATTTTGCTGTGAATGTGTATATCTGTAGGTTAATACATTGAAAACTGACTTAAATTGGTAAATAATTGTTTTTAAAATGAATTAGATAAACAAAACATTGAACAATTTAAAAACAGTATATATATATATATATATATATATATATATATATATATATATATATATATATATACAACATGGTATACCTTGAAACAGTTGATGTATCCAAGATAAAAGGTAACATTCCCTTACTCTATCTCCCATTATGAAATAAATTTTTATTACCATAGAAAGCCTGTAAAAAATTAATTATTTTAAAGTCAGTCATCATTATGGATTGATATTGACTTGAAAATTACGCAAAGTAAGGAAATATTGAGTAGATGTTTATATAGTGTAGAATTTTTCTGAATGTTCATCAACTTTTCTAACATGGATCTCGTTAAGATGACTTAGATACATAATAGTTGATAAAAAAGTTATAGTGTTTGAAACTAAACCTGAAGATTAATCACAAAATCATCGGTAGGTTTTGCTTAGGAATCGTACACGAGAATTAAATCACTATTCATTACCGCCAAATTATATTTTTACAGGTTATCACATCTAAGACAAAACTGTTATGTCTCGATAAGCATAATGAATGGTAACTTTGGGATCCATTTATAGATCAATACTAAACGTATATTTTTTTTATCGTATAATTGTTAATTTCACTAAACTATTCATATTCATATCCCTCTTATTATAAGCTTTATTTTGACCTATAAACTATTATTATACGTTTTAAAATTCTTGAATTATGCCGTCTATTAATCACTACCTCTCACATTCGCAGACATATTTGACCAAATATTGTTGTTGTTTTCTACTTTATGGTACGTTGTGGTCTGTTCGATTGGTATATAAACTCAGTATGTTTGAAATAAACGATTCACATCGCAGAGGCTGAGATTTGTGTTCTGGACTGAACTGGCTGGGCTAGGCGGAAAGCATGACCGATCAGTACTCTAGACTGCTCGTACGGGTTTTGCGCGTCATTGGTCTGTTCGATAATTCCCTACTCTCTAATTGACGGTATCATTGCGTTATACATTAACGCGGCACACAGGCCACAAATTATTACAAAAACATTATCTGATTTTTTCACTCAAAATAGGATCTTTTTAAATTTTTTAAACTAATTATGTTTATCATTACGTCATCACTTTTAATTTTAATTATGAGTTAAGTGCTCGCGTGCAAGATCACTAGGTCCTGGGTTCGAATCGCTCAGGGGGCGGGTTCGTGGATGTGCACTGCTGAGAAGTTCTACAATAGTGCTTCCAGGTTTTCCATGGTGGTCCAGCTTCAATTGACTCATGATGTCCACAATTGAAATTAATTATGAGTGTTACAAAGATTTACTATTTAACTATCCGTCTGATTTTCTGTTACATTGATCTTACATTGAAATCGGTTTGCATTAGTAAATTTTATTTTTACTCTCACAATAAGATCATATATCAGTAATTACTTACATGTTGTGGAATAGATAATCGCTAAATTATTTTATTAACTAAGTTATTTAGAATAATAGTAATACCAAATTTTGTTCGGTGGTAATTTATTTACAATGTATTCTTTTCAAATTATCAAGTCTTTTGTGAAATTTGTTGAAAATTACGGCTACACTTTCTATTCTATCGATCTAGTCCCAAAATCAAATGATGACATTCCTAGTATGTTACATAATATAACCAAGTGATTTATGTTACATAGAATATTAAATATAGTTTATTATTTATAACGCATGCAGTGATATAAGACAATTCTCACTTAATCAAAGAGCATAAACTTAACTAAATAAAGAATGAATTTAAATATGTTAAGTAAAGCCATAAATATGCCTTACCATCCTAATTCAATTTGAAAGAGTTTTGGATTGTTCTGATATAGATACTTGAACTGAAATTTGATGAGTCTTAGTTGATATATGTGCACTCTGTGCGGATTGTCTTAATACAACCATTATCTCACATGTTAATAAAGAACAGATAGAACGTGACTATCAGAACAATCCAGGTTGCACCGTCCATCCTATTAGGTGCTTATCAGTTGGAAAAACTTGTATCCCAGATCTGACGTTCACTCTAGGACTAGTAACCACTATCGTTTGCTTCAAACGCTGTTGTTTATCCGAAACACAGTCACAAAAACGATTGGGACTGTAAATGTACACCAGTAAATTTAAGCATTATACTCCGAAACGTCTATGTTTATCGCTGAAGCTGAAGGCTTTTTGCTAGTTCCTTTGTGGTCATATTTACACATTCCTAAAATATTTTTAACTTTAATAAAACCGCTGTTCAGTTCCTTTCATTTTTCAATTTTTCTTCAGTCGATATTTAACTTCTTATATCAACTATATTCAGCCGAACTACTCTAAACCCAAAGAACAACAGATTTTGAAACATTTAAGTGTGAATAATAGCTTGTATTGATAAAAATAACATGAAACACTTGAAACCGACTTTCATCTCGGTATTTATGTACAAAAACAAAAAAAACGGAAATCAGATCTACGGTAAAAACAAAATAGAATTTGTATTATATTTATAAACGACTGTACACTTATTGTGATTATATGGTAATGATAGTGATAAAAACAACTTAGATCATTACAAACATACAGATGTACGGAACTGTTGATCAATTCTTATTATCAATTATATTTACACTAGCACATCAGTAAACAAACAATTAGTATGAAAAAGAATAAAAAACAGACTTAATTAATGGTGTTCATTACAGTTATGAGTTAAAAGAATAAATCTGGAAAGAAAACAAATTAGAATACACAAAAGTATAAAATGTTATAAAAATAGATAGTAGACAAAAGTGAATACTAGAATAATAGTCGAATACTAAAATAATCTTGAAGAAAGTATTAGTATTAATACTAGTAATAATTAAATTTTAGATTTGTAGTTTTTGCAGCTGAACATAACGTTTTTCTGACCATCAGGACTCAGTAGCTAAGTCGATAACGCGATAGCGTTTGAAGCGAACGTACTGAGTTTGAGGCCCACAATTAATATAAACTCTGAGATGCAAGCTGACGAGTCCGAAATAGGACGAAACGCGCGTTCTGGATCCCATTGCTTGCCATATTATATATATATATATAATATTTTTTCCTATGAACAGTGATTTTTATTAAAACAAAACTTTATATTTTCAATATAATATAGATATTGGCAAGAGTATAAATTCTTATCCTCAAATTATGTTGTAAGCTACATTGAGATTAAGTAGTTAGTTTATCCATTTTCATAAACATAGTGTTTGGTAAACGGATCTTATAATATTATTTATTTAAATTAATAAATGCAGTTCACATGAAACAGTGCACTGACTAGACAGCTCAGATACATTCCTTATTCGAACCATGTCATGTATTAGTCAATGATTGTTGGTTTATGTGTTCATCGTGTATCATTATGTATTAAATAACAGAAACTTTATTTAATAGACAAATTGAAAGGTGTGTTTATAGGTTACGGTAATATTTTAGTTGGAATTTCATGTCGTCAGTACTGATTTCATTATTGAATGTGTTCAATGCTTTTTTGATGTCGGGAACTCAACAAATGTCAAGAGTTATTTATTGGGAACGATTAGCGTTTTACTTCATTAACTTGATTTAATCCAATCTACACAGCGAATATCAAATAACTTTCTAATATTTCCTGAATTATCACGTTCACTGTTTATGTACGCGATGTATACATTGCATTACATTATTTTAGACCATCATGTTCCCAACTAGTTTTGATCTAATTTATCATTACTATTTTTAGTGTCATACACTTTACCCTGTAAATTCTTATCACTTTGATCACAAGTTTCATATTCTCAACAATGCTATTATCAACAAACTCAAATACATATATTTGTTCATATAAATGAATTTCTTCACAATCGGAGTATATCAGAAATACGTCTAATTTAGATCATCAAATTGACTAAGTCCGACTGAATAAATGACAACAGTATAAATTAAAGTATCCGTACAAATGTTAATCGATGGTTTAATTTTCTCCAATAATCTTAATATCTTCAAACTATGCTGTAAGCTACATTGAGGTCAAGTAGTTAGTTTATTCATTTTCATAATGTTTGTTAAGTAGATTTTCAAATATCAATCAATAAATGTGATCTTTGTAAGTTGTTTATATCTCAAGTTGGAACACTTTATTGATTATTTGATAAATGTTTTCATTCTTATTTTATGAAATCTTTTAATTACTTCACTTATTCAAGATTAAATTTGTAATATATTGACAGTAAAATCAAGCGATCTGAAAAATAATGATAATGAAGATAAGAGAGTTTGACAAACTTAAGGGACATCGAACGCTATGAATAGTGGGGTCAAATCCGTGTCGAATGGAGAAAGTTATTCATCTCAGATAGTAGGTGGAGGGTTGCGCAAGATAATGGATCGGTTGATATTATACATCAACACCATTGAATGTCGGCTCAGTGGTCCAGAGGTTAAGTGTTCGCGAGCGACACCGAAGATCCTGGGTTCAAGTCACATTTGTGCGGGATCGTGAATGGGCACTGTTGAGGAGTCCCGCATCAGGATGAAACGGCCCTCTAGTGCTTTCAGGTCTCCACTGGTGATCTAGCTTACATCAACCCATAAATTCAACTATTAAAATTATAAGACTAGTAAAAATCAGGTTTATTTTGTCATACTATCTATAACACTAAAACTTTTGCAAGACATTCATCCCCAGTGTCATATACATATCAGTAAATTATCAAAACTTCAAACGTTCTATATAATTGTAGTAGTGCAGAATGATCCATAAACAACAAAACTTTTATGTGTGAAATATTGGTTAATTTTTTTAGATTTTATCTAGCAGATTTATCTAATAATAGATATTTATTCCATTTTATACTTCAATGGCTCAAGCATATTCATGATCATTTAAATTGATTTATTTTGTTAAAATATTTTTATTTAGATTTGTCGTGCAAGTCTAACATTGTTTGCTGAGTGGCCAGTAACTGATTCAAGAGTCACTGAAAGTACTTTGGTCAATATGGCCGGAGGTGGTGTTCGACTTGATGTGGACAAAGTATGGCATCCTCAGTTAGTTATTAAAGGCGCATTCAGACATGATCGTTTTCATCAACGTTTAGAGTTGCGCAACCTATATGCTGGAAGTAATTCCCTCTCTAAATCGACAAATCCCACAAATTCCTTGAATAGAGCGCAAACAGGACTAGCTGCACGAGGATTACCTAACGAATCGTCAATTCAATCAATTCGTTCTCATAATCGTGCCAAAACGTTGAAGGTAGTACCGGATGGAGATGGACCGAATTATTCATTCATGGAAAGGTTTGCATTTATTGACGCTAAACATTGAATGTCAAAAGGCACTAGACTGTTTTAAGTCACATTTATTAAAAATATTATTATTTCAAGCTATGAGTATATGATCAGTAACACGTTAAACTTAAGATGTTTATGAGCTCTGAAGCTAAATTATCATCTATGAAGTTATAGTGCTACTGAAAAGCTTGTACATACTGTTTCATAAAACTGATCTACTAGAACTATACTCAATAGTATTCCGTGTAACTTTTTATCGTAACTTGACTATAGTTACGTAAACTAACTATGAATCCAATATTAGAACTTCATGGCCAGATTTCACTTAATTAAAAGACTAATAAGACTTCTAAACAAAACTAATTATGGAACTCTATATAGTTTATTTTTTGACCATCCCGGCAGTTTTCAACTCTATGATCTCACTTTTTTCTTACAGTTTATTGGAAGGCAGTTAATAGCAAAAATAAAACCTGGTACAAAGTACCTATCATGTTGATGACATAGAGTTGAATAAATGTTTTACAAAAGATTTTCACTGATCTGAAATCCGATTTAAGTAGCGGTGAATAGACGAAAAAAATACTTAGTATTATAGCACAATATAAAATTGTTTATTTTATTTGACTACATGTAGTTTTCAAGAAAACATTTCTAAGGTTTTAGTTTAGTCTAGTCAGTCTTGTAATAGCACATTTCATGATCATTTTAACTCTTAAGATAGGGATCGTCAACTACTAACGAACAACCAAATGCATGGTTTAGAAACTCCTTGAAACCTAAATTAAGGAGATTACTTTTCAATACAACGATGTTGAAATAACAAGAAACCTGACCAAAACGTCACAATAATCCTTTGATAAAAAACTATATTAACTACTTTTAAATGATTAAACCTCAACTACTAAACAAAAACGGGAGAATTACAATAAGTATATTTGGTTCACTTTGTTGGGTACTGATGATTAATGATTACATTTCATCCAAAATTTGAGTTTGTTAATACTTTAGAGCTAATTACAATCTTTAATACAAATTACCTAATTATAGTAGTATTTCTTAGGTGACTTACTTCCAGTAATTAATGACTTGAACAATAAACTATATTTTAATTTTAAATCATGTTTAGACAAACTTTAGTTTGATTACATTTGATAATTATTTTGCCAGTATTTATATCAATCAAATAAGATTCCGTCAGTAAAACTTAATACTTATTTCCTCTTCACAATTGATTGATCATTGGGTGGTGATCAATGTCATGTGCGTCAAGTCCTTCTTAGTGCAGATCGAATCCTATCAACCAAATCGCAATGTGGCCACTAATCTAGGTGACTCGAAATTATGTGCACTATGTTGAAATAAAATGATGGTTGGAGGTAGTCAACAGGAAACCCTAGACACAAGTGTCGTGCTATTTGGCACTCATCATTAAGGTGTGCCTGTAATCTTGAGGTAACTGGAGCTCCATGACGTATTCTATCCCGTGTCACCCAGCTCCACTTGACACACATGACATTGGTCACCACCCAGTGATCAATCAATTGTGAATACATCTCAGTCCTATAGGAGGTCGGTTGGAGTTCAGTTAGCCCAGTGGTAACGTCCCTAACTGTGAAGCTGGATGGTACGGGATCGAATCCGTCGGAGAGCATCAGTTCTCTCAAGATTACAGGTACACCTTGTTGATGAGTCCCAAATAGCAAGAAACTTGGATCCTAGATTTCCTGTTGATTACCTCCAATCACCATCTTAACTTATTTCCTCTATTCAAGCATTATAATCTGTCGTTAACACTACAAATAAACTCTTTGTAATCAATGGATATTTAAAACAAGCTTCTTGTTTCATTTATGGCTAGAATTATTCTAAGAATGATGCAATTTTTCCAAATCTTAAAGTTTCGCACTTTCAATTAATCTTATAAAGTATATTTGTATCATGCAAACATTTTATAACATGTAGTACATGTTAACACCTAATATACTTAAAAAGCTTTTATAAAAAGAGTCTTTAAAAAATATTAAACAAAACAACAAACGATTGCAATATATCTTTAATAGACTTGATAAATATTCGAAGTGATTCATTGTAAATATTAAAATTAATATCTATACTCCATATATTACTCATTTTTGTCCTTATAATGACCTCAACTGTACTAAATAGATAATGTTTATTTACAATGAATATAAAGTATTTTGATAATATATTTATGTAATTCACTAATATTCCAACTAATTTCTATGACCTAAAACTCTTCGAACCAAAAAAAGAAAAGTTAATATAAAACAATAATACAATTGTAAAAGAAGATCACAATTTCACAATGTATAGAAAACACTTTCGTTTAACAATAATTTGTAACAAAATCAATGAAGACAACTTTGTTAAAGAGAAATTAGTTTATAGATGATACATTATATTTGGTAGATTCTTTTGTGGTGAAAAACAAAAAGCTTCTGTGAAACTCAGTCGACTGAAAACGTGAGAAAATCTTAGTTTTATACCTTAAATTGTCAGAGTGTATTTCAATGAACCCCAATAGAATTTAATAAATGATACATCAATATCTAAAGGTTTACGGTATCTAGGTTTACACATAAAAATTAAAAGGGGTAATTTTTAAGTGTGTTACTTTTTAGTAAATTCATATATCTGCATTGACTACTGACAAGTCAAAGGGATGATTTGTTTTCATATACTGATATCATTTTCTTAACATAAGTGTATGTAGTTTAGGGGTTTCGCTGTTTTTAGGAAGGACATAATTTTGTTATTCTGATTAAAACCTACTAAATTGGATACAAAAAGAGAAGTAAAAGACGGCTGGGGAAGTGAATGAATATTATCCTGATGTTTTTCGGTTCTGTGAGGAGTACAATACTTTTAGACCAATGTATGAGAACTTTATGGTTCCTACTTGCAATTTTAGTCACTCTGTTATATGGTGGTGTAACCAAGCAACACCAATTATAATATTTGTTTCAAAATAGAACTTCGGCAACCTGTTCCTCAATTAACCATCACTGTACACAAAAGTATTAATAATATGAGTGATTCGTGGAGACATTTCAAATTCAAATCAGTTTTCATCATGGACATACATCACTAAGACCTGAATATCATCGGTTGAATGCTGTGTAAAATAATAGTTGTTCATTGTTAGGAAATCTGAAAGAGGAACTAAATTGCGATTTAGTTCTCCATTAGTTTTTACGGCTATCCAGATGACACTTTTTTATAATGAAAACTTTAAATTCGATATTAAATTACTAAAACATTCCATTTACTAATGAGAAAGTTCATATTTTCGAATTTTTAGCATTGTCGTAGAAGTTCCATGTCAAGAGCCAAAAAAATTCCATCATATTGGTGCTATCGTTTGTCCAGTATGGATAAAACAAGGTAAAGATATAACCTATACTATTTTCAATTTTATATATTATGAAAGTTTGATAAATATTCACTTTTAACTAAATTATGAAATTTGGTCTTCTCTACCAAGTACAGAGACTAAGTTCTAACTGATGTTAAACACATAAAATTAATATTGATTGAGAACAGTATTCTATAACCCATTCATCTCAGAAAAATACGAAATGATGTGCAGCTTCTGTTCTGGAATTATTTTAAAACTTGACACTTTTATACTTCAACCTACCATTTAAGTATTTTAATTTATCACTATCATTACTCAAAAACATACGAAGTTCTGATTACAGAATATGTTGAACAGCTGTTATGTGCTAAATAACGAACAATTTTAAGCCATAAAAATTAAGAAAGAATTTCATCTATAAACTTGTCAACCATATATGTCCACATAAAATCGAGGTTAATAAAACTATGTTCTGAATCAGGTTAACTTTTATTTTGATTTCACCTTTAAAATAAGAATTGTTTATAAATAAATTAATTATCAGTATAGGGGTTGGGGAGATTATTAAGTTTTTCATTGAGATCATGAATCAATTGATGTTAGACCACCATTGGAAACCTAGAAGCACTGCACGGCCGTTTCGTCCAATTGTGGGACTCCTCAGCACTGCGCACCCTCGAATCCGCTAATCCGTGCTAATCCATGTCAGGTAGAGACAGGTATTTGCCTCAGTGCAATAGAAGATGGTCGCGCGATTTCGTGGATTGGTTGATGTTAGACATTAACATCATTGGATGCCGGATCAGTGGTCCAGTAGTTTAAGCGTTCGCGCGTGACTGAAGGCCCTGGGTTGAAATCTCGTGAGCGGGACCGTGGATGCGCACTGCTGAGGAATCCCACAATAGGACGAAACGGCCATGCAGTGCTTCCAGGTTTCCAACGGTGGTCTAACATCAATCGGTTCATGATTTCAATCAAAAAAATAAATTAATTCATTTGATAATAAATTTATCAGCTATAAAGTCGAAGTAATTTAATAAGTAGGTGATTACCAAACAAAGTGAGCGTATCCACTTAATAAAAGAGATACTAATATCATGGTAGAATACGGAAATGAGCAGGACAGTTTAGTATATATAAAATAAATTTGAATTGATGAACTAATAAAATTTCAGAGATAAACAAGTCCTGTATTCTCATTTAAAATATCGACTGTAAGAGAATAGATTCTCATTAGTTTTCAAAGAAACTCTCCAGCCATTTTAAAATTTAAACAGAATAGTCATCCTATGGTGAATTCTCACATGTTCCAAAAGCATGGATAGATCATTCCATATTAGTTTAACACTAAATGTACAGTTAAAATACATTGTGGAGGCATAAATTCATGAGGTTAGGTTTGTATCGTCTTAAGGAATTTCAAGAGTTATAAGAGGTTTGTGAACAGATATTTCATTTTAGTTTAGAAGGTCTTGTAGTGAACGAGAACACAGGCAGGAACAATCAATAATATTTGAACACAAAATTACAGAGTGTCTTACTCAAATCTGAAAACCATACTGCAAATAATTCATTTGGAAAATGACAATCATTTGTCTCAGACTTCATTGTTCTTTCGTTTACACACCAATCATTCTCTGTTTTCGTCCGCTTTTCTTCGATCTTCTTAACTTTCTGCAGCCAGACATTTCACTTTCTACTGATGACAGATACTACTTATATTTGTTGACATCAGTAGTACACACTATAGTCTCATCAGTGAAGCTCCAAGGGTAGCGTTAAACGACTGACCAAAACGTCCTGATTTATAATATTACTCTATTTAATATTAGTTCGCATTTTAGAAGATTGCAAAAGCATATTTCTTGAATCTTTTAAATAACATGGTTTTATGCATCTATTCAAACTAGATAGGCGACATTACGAAAAAATCAAATAAAACGAGCGACTATTTAAAATAATTGATAATTGATAATTTTTTCTCCCGTTTTTGTCAAATACTTGTACAGTAAGATTAAATAGATCTTTACAAGAGTCTTCACATTAAATATCAATGAATTTAGTTCTGATTTATATAAATGATAACACCTATGTCTGACGACAATCGTTTCACCGATAATTAAAATCCCCTTCACTCGTTTATTGTGACAAATTTAAAATAAGTCGGCTATAACCTTTATGATTCATTGCTATCCATGAAAATCTTAAACAATTAACAATAAAATAAATCCATAGATAAATAATAGACGGAAGTTTACCGTTCATAATTTTAAATGAAAGAAATTATCTTAGAAAGTAAATCATAACATTTCAATAACTACAATTTTTGGTATAAACGTTTTGGTGAGTAGCAAAATAAAGACATGCATTCGGCTTCCTACTTTTACTACCACCCTGTAGACGCCATTCACTAAACTACTTGATTATATAAAAATGACTAAAAACCCATAGGAATTGAATGTTTTTTTTTTAAAATAACTATATTTACTATAAAATACTTTACTTGGATTATTCTGGGTAAAATATCAAACCTTAAAAATAAACAGTTAAATGGTAATCATTTCTGTTTATAACGGCTTAACTGTTTATGTTTTCATGACAACATATTTGTTTTTGTTAAAAACAAAAAAAGAATAAGGAAAATAGAGGTCTCCTGTTGAAACACTCAAAGTTCTATTTTAAAATGACAATCCTACTTTTAGTATGACTCTACAAAGATTAGAATTAAAAACCGTTTCCTTATTATGTATTCCAAAAAAAGAATACTTTGACTATACAATAAATGTTATACATAGGTTATAAACATTTATGACGCCTACTTAGTAATCAAAACGTATTCACAATTAAATGACATCTTCATAATTGTTTTAATTAGCTTTATTGAACTGTTAAATTATATTTAAATATTAGGGCATCATTAAAAATCGTATATATTTTATAAAGTTTATTTCACAGCGGGAAATTGTAACATGTATTTTTTGTACTAGTTAGGATTTTTAGTAAATTGATTAACTTCCGAGTTGATGAACACAATGAAATCAACTGTCTATTAAGGGAAATAGTATATTAGAACATTTACATGAACATGATTCAGGATTTATGTACTGAAGTACTGTCAATAATCCAGTTTATTTCTCTTTGAATTATGTTATTGTGAGATTTGTAAAAGTGTAAAACAAATAATGTTGCACACTTCTTCAGCTGTCAACTATTAGCGTTAACATAATCATTACAAGCTAGAACGCATTAAACATATGTTTTGTCATGATTTATCAAACCTCAATCATGTACCTTTATTGATTGTGGCACTGCGAATAATACACAGTACAATTCGATCATTATTTCAAAACCGACTAATATCTACTGTCACAATACAGTTACTTCATACATCAGAGTGATCGTCATCTACAAGTTATATGCGTTTTATATTGCGTATTTCACAGCTGAAACTTATATACAGAATTATGTAGATGATTTTATTTGTTAATTGTTTTCACTTGTTGCTGTAAATATTTAGCATTTCATTAGATGTGATGAAAAGTTACCTAATCACCGATTACTTTTTTTAACTTAGTGTACTGTTTCATTGTTTTAATAATCTTTTCAGAAGGCTTCATGAAAACACAACCGATGATCAAGTGGACTGAACGTAAATGTTGTCTGATCTCAAATGATGTACAAAGGAAATCATCTTATCTAAGTGTGACAAAACGCTATGATGAACATATTGATAAATCCGGTAGGTGATATAAGGTTTGTTTCCAAAATTACTGGTAGGTAAATTATTTGTACGACAAAATTATACCCAAAGCTTGTCAGCAACTTAACAAACTGTAAACTCCTAAAAATGAATTTCTTACAGTAATTTCTTAAGAAGGGGGATAGAATCCTCTCATTTGGCACGAACCTTGGTGTTATATTATAAAATTTACCATATATGATCCTTTGGTTACATTAACTAATCATTTATTAGCTTCAATGGTCAAAACCTGACTCGCTCTAAACTGATATCTCACCATCACACAGTGAAATCTTCATTTTGTTTAGATTAGACACATTTTTGCTAAGCTGAAAATGTTCACTGACCAAAACTTGGTAAATATGTTCCATTCATGAAGATGTACATTCACTCACCAACCCACTGAGACTATCGTAACTTGCTAAGAAAAATCAGGTGGGCACAAACTTCAATTACTATATCTTCCGTTACGCTAGAAATCAGTACGCGCAATTTGCGAAGTAATCACTTGTATTTAAGAGCTAGCAATTTCATTTTCAACCTTCTCAAGTTTTTCTCCAAGGTCTTCAGTAGACTGTGATATTTAGAACAAGTTTATGATCTTTCAAAACTTTTTATTAAGTCATCTCAAATTAAATTGATGATTTTACAAATGAGCATTCCATCCTTCAAGCAATTATCTAAAAAGATTTATGTGTATAAACTCCTTGTTCCACATACAAACCATATCATGTGACATTTTAATCAGAATCGACAACTGGAATTAACTCTCTTGAAAAGAACAACTCAAAAAGAACATGTCAAACTATTGGATTAAAAAAATGTAATAAATAACACTGTATTATGTAATACGGTGTAATAAAATGATCTTAGTTAGGATTGTATTATTTTGTAGCTGAAAAATTACTTTTTCAGTTGACTATTTTCGATAAAAGATATTTAGCTTTTAACAATTCAAATGATTTTATATAATCTCTACTATGTCACACGTAAATCAACTCCATCTTCACATAATATCCAAGTAAATACTAATCGTTTACTTTCAAACGACTAGATTTCAAGATGAGTGCCATCATAATTTCGGCCCTCTCCCCCCCCCAAACAATTCAAAAGTGAATTAAAGTTTCATGCTATATTTTTATATTTTAATTTATGCAGAATTAGTTTGATCAAAATTTATCTGATTAAAATGGTTATCTTATGTTTTTAATGAATTTATAGGTCCAGATCAAAGTCTTGGAATTAATATTTGTTTTTCCCAAAGTGGCAGAATATTACAAGGTAGTTTACCTCCAATGCTCCTTGTATTAATTTCTATTATACTACTATGGACAAATCAACTGGGTACACATAATCTTAGTTGTACACAATTAATTCTATTTTTATTTTCAATTTCATTTTGGCTGTGGATGAATGAACAAAACTTAAATAATTCTAAATTATCTGGATTTCTTAATGCATGGTGTTTAATGTGTTCAAGTTCAATTTGTTTAATCTACTTATTTGTTTTAATTCATCATCGGTTTGTTTGTCGATTTCTTCAACGAAAATATCAACATTTGGATCGCTTATCGTCATTTGGTTTGAATCAAAATAAAACAACCACAACAGGTTTTAATACAGAGGGTCCAGTTAATGAACGGATGAATGGACCAGGATTAATGCAAAGTTATGGGTGTTGCGGAAATTGTAGTGGATGCCCTGATTCATGTACTAGTTGTGTAGCAGGAAGAACAAGTACGGGATTTATTTCATCAAATGGTACAGCTGTTTGTTATAGTAACAGTAGTTGTGGTCTATCTGGTGGAAGTGGTCATGCATGCCAAGCCATACCAATATTGCAAACAAATCCACCTGCAAATAATAGTCCTGGACCTCTAGGATTTACACAAGCAATGGGCCTACCAAACAACAAAAGAGTAAGTTCACCTAGCCATTTTAGTGATTGAAGTTGTGCATAAACAAGAATCTTTTCATATTCTTTTTCATAAAAACAGATTTAACAATATCAACTGAGTCAGTGACTGATATTTTCAAACTTTAACCATTGTTATAACATTTATATAGAATAGATGGAATATGGCCAGAAGTGGGATCTAGGACTATCGTTTTGTCCCTTTGTACAAGTAACTGGGTATCCGAACTTAATAGCTAATTAGATAACACTTTGGAATTTGAACGGGACAATTCAAAATATTAGAAACTACAGTTCTGTTGCAATAACATGAAAAATATCAAAATGTTTAGACTTCTACATAAAATCTTCTTAATAAAAAGTACGTTTGTTTATCCGACCGTCCACTATCTCAAATCCACTGAATTTGGAGATGTTAACGTTTAAATATCGATGCAGTGGTCTAAAAGTAACACCATCATCAAGAAGTCAAAATTCCTGGGTTTAATCATTGGTATGTTCGCCTGTGCAGACTACTGCAGTCTGTCGGACCAGACAGAAATATCTGGCTACTGCTAAATGGTGCTAAATTGTGACCTAGTTGCAGTCAGTCTGTGTTTTAAACTGTCTTCGGAATGAAATAACTTGATAAACGTACTAGCTTAATTATTACTTCAAATATAAGGTTATATTAAGATATTTTTTAAAAACGTGTAATTGATAGGGAAGTCAATTCACCATATAAGCTAACAAAATCAAGAAACTAAACAATGTTGACATTAAAATAATTTCGAAAAGTTTTTGATTGAGATCATGAACCAATTTATGTTAGATCACTGTTGGAGTTAATTCGTGTCGAATAGAGATAGATATCTACCTCAGGACAATAAAAGATGGTCGCACGATTTCGTGGATTGGTTGATGTTAGACATTAACATCATTGGATGCCGGATCAGTGGTCCAGTAGTTTAAGCGTTCGCGCGTGACTGAAGGCCCTGGGTTGAAATCTCGTGAGCGGGACCGTGGATGCGCACTGCTGAGGAATCCCACAATAGGACGAAACGGCCATGCAGTGCTTCCAGGTTTCCAACGGTGGTCTAACATCAATCGGTTCATGATCTCAATCAACGACTTACAATATCAAATGGCTATCATGTCTTAAGTACAAAGGTTTGCTAAACACGATGGATACAACCTAATTTTCTAAATGATTAATGCACTTTTTAGTCAAAACAATATTTCACAATGAATGTTAGTATTTTAAATAGTAATAAAATATCATTTCAAATATGCTTTATATTTTACAATCTATGGATGAATAGTGCCAGATTTATCAATGTTCATTGCATTTTGACTGTACCTAGCCTATCAACGGATATCTTAATTTAGAATTATTTGTGAACTATTCTGTGATATTATATCCTTTACATAGTCATTATCAATTAAATTTTACCGTGTACTATGTTGAGTACATTTTATAAGTCTTTCATACAAATGGATTACTTTAGGTTAATCTATACAACTATGAGTAAATAGGTTTTATCCTGTGTGTACTGCATGATTAATACATTAACTAATGGTCAATCATTTAGCGAAATATTCTTTCTGTACAAAACAATACATCAACAGTATATTTGTTAGCAAGTTCTTGCATTTATCTGTTTGTTACTAGAGATCATAATATCTGTTGTAATTAAGTAGTGAATTTAGATGATCATTGATGAATCTCCTCTAGAAACGTAAATTTCTCTAATTCTACATAATACTCTACTTCTATTTATAATTTCACAGGAGAATTATGGTGACAATTATTTATGCTCAGGTAGTTCGGAATCCGGTAATGGAGTTAATAATGGTACATTTCGTGGATTAAGATGGAGAAATTCCCGAAGAGTTAATAATGTCAATTTATTGGGTGGAGATTTAAATCAACCGGATTGTCATGTATGCCAGTCACATTTTCTCCCTGATAATAATAATGATAATCATGCTAATTTATCATCTCCTACAGCTGCTGCTTTCAATGCATTTTGTCGACATCAGCATTTGTGCAGTTCATCTGTAACACCATGCATAAATGTACATAACTTTAATGTAAATAATTATCCTTCACCTTATTGTTTAACAGGATTGAAAACTTTAATAACTGTATGCTTTTGTATAATGAGTACTATTTACTGGATAAGTATATTTGCACAAGGTACATTACCTGAAACATGTTTAGGTATATCTCTATGTCAGATCATAGAAACTAATCGTTCATAACTCATCCAAAGAAAGATATTGATAAACTTTTTAATTGTAAATAGAAAACAAATTAAACCGAATTTCGATAATATAACCTTTTTAAACAATTTTAAAGTAAAACAAAACTATCTTCAAACACATAAATATTGTAATCCATATGCATTTGCATATAAATTTATACTATAAATTCTATTTAATTTCATTTTCTTATAATAACATAATTGTTTCTTGTTAAAATTGAAAAAAACTAGTGACTTCATTAAAAGTATTACTGATGAAAAGAAATCAGTAGTTTATACATATATCTTCCATAGTTGACTAAATTGTCCAATGTAATAAATTGAAAATATAATACAGTGTGACCCCACCTAACAGTAATTTACTTTTTTTAAAAACATTTGGTTTTATGATGCTTTTTTTAAAAAAAATTACAATTTTCTAAAGTAAAGATGACTATACATTATGACAGGAAATGAATCCGTTTCTTTTTTTGTGTACTATAATTCCTTTATATATTTACTAATTTTTATCATTAATGTTTAGTTTGTTTGTTTTGAATAAAGACAATTGGATGAGAACATTGTAAAAATTAATTTCAATTCACTTAAATCAATAATAACAAATCATTTTCAACAATACCGATAATGTAATAAGAAGATGAAGATTATCAGAACTATGTGATGAGGTATTAGAGTAATACATTTCGAACAATCTGATCACACATAATATACTTGTTAAGAACATTTATGTATAAAAATCAAAGGTCAACTAGACAGGTGAAAAGTAAGCCATAACAAAGAAAAAAATAATAACGAAGTACATAAAGACAATGTGATTACCACTCTGGATAATAAATCAGCATTACCAGGGTAGATGAAGTGTAAAGACAAATTGTTTTTGAACATATAAATTGGGTTTCACTTTTCGTATAGCCAAGGCTTCAATAAACCTTAGTATACGTCCTCGAAGGTTTTTGTATAACACTATAAATGCTGACTAGATGTCAACCTTATGACCAGTCTCAATCAAATGTTTCGCAATCCGTTCAAAAACAGTTTGACGTTACACTTAACCTACCCTGGTAATACTGATTTATTATCCAGAGTGGTAATCACATTGTCTTTATGTACTTCGTTATTATTTTTTTCTTTGTTATGGCTTACTTTTCACCTGTCTAGTTGACCTTTGATTTTTATACATAAATGTTCTTAACAAGTATATTATGTGTGATCAGATTGTTCGAAATGTATTACTCTAATACCTCATCACATAGTTCTGATAATCTTCATCTTCTTATTACATTATCGAAATTTAGCAAAGGGACTAATTGCTTTAAATTTCGACAATTTGTTCAACCTATAGTCCTCATTCCTTTTAAAATCTTATTACATAATCATATGGATTAAATGATATTTTCAAACCAACTTTATTATTTTACAGCCTTGTTAATATTCTTACTTTGAGGAAATATTAAATCTTCCATTAAATTAACAATTTCATATACTGTTCAAATTCACATATCATTTTAAACTATTATTACTACGAACAATATATTTCGTTTAATTGATTATGTAACTAATTATTCCATCATGTGAACTACATATTTTCTGAATGGTTATTTGCTTGTTTTTTGTTTGTTTGTTTTTCAAACTAAACGCATAAAACAACGACATCATACTGAAGGCATTTAAAAAGGAGATTTACAATAAACTATATAATGTTTATTATTCCTGAAAAAATATAACACTACGACCTTTTGTTTGTTATTAAATTTATATTATGATTTTAATATACATTAATAATAAAAATTTAAATAAGAAAATACCAAGATAATAACCATGGTTATACAATATTCCAATAAGTTTAATCTCAATTAAAATATTCATCTAGTTACTATGGAAAACTATGTACAACATGCTCTGTTGTTTATTATTCAAGATATGGAAATTATTTATTCATCATTGATGCATTAATTTCTTTCTTGTATATAATAACTTGAATAAACGGACAACTAATCACTTTAGTGATAAAAGAAATTGCTATCTTTACTTTTATTATGATTACAGTTTATTTTCTTTTTACAATTGAATAAGGCTCATATGAAAGACTGGGAGAGGGAGAAATCCACAACAATATTTCATAACACTCAGTAATAATAAAGAAAACAGTTATGAGTTAATTATTTCAAGGTAATTAATTCTTACAAAATGGATTAATGAATAGCGTTGTTTTTCTTTAAAAAAGAAAAGAGACAGACTTGTTTTATCACAATTTGTTAAGTATAAAAATAAAAAGTTAATAATCAATCAAGGAAAGTAATCAAAGAAAGAATCATTTCATTAGAACAAATGGCCAATACAAATTATTAGTTTAAAAGATTATAAATTAAATGTCATTTATTAATTAGCATAAATTATATGATATTGTAGTGCGTGCTACTAATATCGACAGATATAAGTAGTATGTATCGTCAATCAAAGCTTGAGAAAATCGGAGAGAAAAGAATGAGAACAGAGAGTGATTGGTAGGGAGACGAAGGAACAATCAAATTTGAGACAACTAATTGACATTTTGTAGATGAAGTAGATGAAGTATTTACTGTATGGTTCTCAGATTTGACATTAGCTTATGATAACCTAAATACAATACTTCATTAAAACATGGCCTGGTACGGCTGAGGGTGGGGAAAGTCTGTTCTTCTTCTCGAAATGCTCTCACATGATCACGAATATACAGTCACTACCAAGAAAGTCATACTCATTTCCTTCTTGAGGCATTTCTGTTGTTTACGAAATTGAGAAGACGAAAAGCGAATGTCGGCCGCTTTATTGGATTGGTGGATACGGAGGATCCGTCTATGGGAGCTGGAAAACCCTGATTTCAACCCAATGCTGCACATGAGCTCCAGGATCCTGAAGAAACAAATGGCGTATGAACCAATTATTGGTTACCGGATACCATAGGATTGCATCTCCTGACGTTGTTCCACTGCCTTGTGGATCAGACCATTAGGTCGAAAGCTCCGGATACAACCTTCTACGAAAATCACCTACTTTCGTCTTGGTACCCGTGCAGCATCCTAGCCCAAACAAAAATCAAGTGACTTGTGTGGCACAAATGTATTCAGTGCCCCTTTGTAACAATATTTATGTGTTCAAATAACTAAATAAAATATACTTTCTGTATACAATAAATAATCATTTGACTGTAATAATTAAAGAAAAAACAGGCTATTTAAAAATAAATAATAACTGATTCGACTTGAATAAACTATCGCTCATAATTTGATAAATGCTACATCATAATTTGCTTTTTCATAGTTTATACCATGAAATGATCTAAGTTAGGCATCCATGTATGACAGTAATAAAAGTCAAAATTACATTGTTTTACTCATTATGACTTTTGTTCAACATTAATTCCGTTTTAATTCAATGTGATGATTATTCAGTGTAATATTTCTTTTGTTTTCTCGTATGACATTTTATTCTGTATAACATACGATATTCTTGTATCCAGTTGGCCTGAACTATGATCAGCATGTCACATAGTATATAATTTTTATAACTGTAAGTATTTTTCATATATGTGATTTCAACCTAATTATTAATTAAAATATACGTACGAATCCATATATTAATGAGTATATTTTCGACTTGGATCATCATCGTCATGTTTTCCGGGCTAATATATCTTCATTTGTACCAGTCTTTGTGTTCTTACTTTCACGTCGAGGGAATTACAGTGGTTCCTCGCTTTACAAGTATAAGCGATAACCGATTTCGACATAACAATCAGCGGCAACCAGACAAAACAAAGTAGCCTTCAATCAGAAAACATATAACCATTGAAAACTCAGGTAATATCCGATAGCCATTTCTTCTCGGTGAAGGAGTCTTTAGTACTGTATACTTACCTTCGGAAGGGCGATGAACTAGGTACGTCCAGTTCATAGTGAAAGCATTTAACTTCTTGACCATTGATTTGCCATCCCGTGGTTTACACAGATTTATGCCTACATACTAATGAGACGTCCCAAACTAGTACAAAACAGATGTCCATTGCTTCTTGGTTTTTAATAATTTTCTAAAACCAGTCATTTTGCGATGCAATTATGGGATTTTAAAAAATCGTAAACCCCCTGTCGTTATATAAATGTTTTATGTACTAAAGAATAATAACTTATTGTCTTGTGATCTAATTAATATACTAATTGATTATTACTACATTGCATAGTACATAAATAAGTTGAAATTTCATCCTATAATCAGTCTCTGTTACAACAAATAAAACTGTCAGTTTGAGTTAAACTTGTTCTTTTATGTTGACAAATTTACATCATTTCTTCAACTCGGATGAAAGTTTTCTTAATTGCTGATGACTGATTTCTTGAGCCGAAGCCTACTATAACGAACAAACTATAAGAATCTACTAAAGTTAATAACCATATCTAGGCAACTAGATTATTTGTTCATTTTTCCTGAAGACAACTGGCAGCAGAAACCAGTAATCAATTCTCATATTGGATTTATACTAAATGTTAAACTAGAATCTTATACTTACTTTCATTTTTATACTATTCAAACAATCAAAATGTGAGACATCCTATGACGTAAATCCGAATATTATTTAAATATATTAATACAGTAGCTTCACAATTTATTGATCATTGGGTGGTGATCAATGTCATGTGCGTCAAGTCCTTCTTAGTGCAGATCGAATCCTATCAACCAAATCGCAATGTGGCCACTAATCTAGGTGACTCGAAATTATGTGCACTATGTTGAAATAAAATGATGGTTGGAGGTAGTCAACAGGAAACCCTAGACACAAGTGTCGTGCTATTTGGCACTCATCATTAAGGTGTGCCTGTAATCTTGAGGTAACTGGAGCTCCATGACGTATTCTATCCCGTGTCACCCAGCTCCACTTGACACACATGACATTGGTCACCACCCAGTGATCAATCAATTGTGAATACATCTCAGTCCTATAGGAGGTCGGTTGGAGTTCAGTTAGCCCAGTGGTAACGTCCCTAACTGTGAAGCTGGATGGTACGGGATCGAATCCGTCGGAGAGCATCAGTTCTCTCAAGATTACAGGTACACCTTGTTGATGAGTCCCAAATAGCAAGAAACTTGGATCCTAGATTTCCTGTTGATTACCTCCAACCACCATCTTATTACAGTAGACTGTTTTTAAATTATCTCTAAGTATTCAGTAAAACGTATAGACCATGAAAGTATTATTTAACCAAATTATTTTCATATGATTAACAAGTCTATAAAAAGCTTATTATCAAATGATTACAATAAATCGATTGTGTACATGATTGAACGTTGTAATAAGAATGGTTTTCGAAACAATGATTCATTCTGACAGGACAAATACAGATTAGTTTACATTATATTATTTCATAGGTGGTGAACAAGACTGTTTTAATTACGGCTGAATTGATCCTAATAATGGTACATTTTGATGATCAATTTACAAAGAAGTTATTAAGTATACATTTTTCTGACAAACAATTTGTCCAAATTAGTATTTGATTCAATACTTGGGATGAGACTTGCTTGTTTATAAAACAGAACTAAACAAACCAAAACTAATTAATCAACATTATTTTTTAGAAGAGAATCTATTTAATAAATCATAAAAATTATAATATTTAATCACAAATTAACATAACTTATGAAATCACTGAAAATCACGGATCAATGGACAATTCTGGTTTCCTAGCTTAAAACTTTTCTGCATTTTTAAGCTACTGCCTTAATAGAGATTAGATACAGGATCTATGGTTCCTTGAGACAAGGCCATTTACATCAGACTATTAAGTTGATATCATGTGATTAAACTTCCTTCAGTTAGTGATGTGGATTATAAGTATAAATTATTGGATTTCAACTCAATATCAAATGTATCCGATTTGTTGAAACAGTTATCAAATCCACTCGCTGTTATCGTGAATTCTTTCTATTAGCTGGTTAACTGTACACCTTTAACTGCTTATCTGAACAAAATCCATGTGTGTATAATACACAATGAATGTGTAAATCACCAACGTAGATAATCTATGTCGAATGATTGGAGGCCTACTTGAGTTAGAGGGGGATGGTGTGACGAACCAGCTAACGTTGAAGTCACACTTCGTGGTCAGTACCTTACGTTGACTACCCCATTGACGTATCAAGGTACTATACATACTTTGAAAACTGTGCAACACAGAAGACGTTATCACAGAACTATATTAGTTAAAGTAGATACAAATGAAAGTAAGACCACCACCGCATGAGCCAGTCCATGGCGTACGATTAACTGATGCGAGTTGGTTGTCCTTGACATGGACGAGGATCGGTGATTTGTTTGATATTCAATGACCCAACTGCCGGATGATATGGCTAGGGCTCATTGAAATTTCACTGGCCCTACAAATGTTTTTTATTACATTGTTCTTGAAATGGCGGAGACGATTTGTAGCTCAAGTGGATAATTTTGATGAAGTTTTGTTCTCTGAGCTGGTTGGTTTGGTTGTGGAGCTTTCATCATTCTACTGAACGACATTATTAGCATCTGACGTTTGTGCTGATGATGTCGTTCAGATGAACGATGAAAGCTCCACAACCAAACCAACCAGCTCAGAGAACAAAACTCCATCAAAATTAGATTGTTCATTCTTTTTGCCAACTATATACAAGCAAACACATATGACCAGTTTAGAATGCAAACATAATTGAAAATTAAAAGGTAGAATACTTTTCAGAGAACAATAAAACATTTGAAATGCAAGATTTTAATGAAGATTTTTAGAAAGGTATTCACAAGTAAATGAGTTCATAATCTTTGTGTATTCAAGAACAGTTTGTTCTCTATGTACCCTGGTAATATTAGCTTATTATTCAGAGTTATAAGGTTTCAAATTGTTTTCATATTATTTCTTTATTATCCGTATCTCCTCTTACCCACTATTTATAGTCTAGTTGAACTTTTATTTTTATATATAAAT